AAACCCTAAACCCTAAACTTGAGGGGAGCTTGGCTCTGAGGTTTTTGGTTTTTCGGGCTGCGTAGATCCATGGGATCAATTGGGGCTGGAGGGTTCCAAAGTTGTTGCGTGGTTTGCGAGCCTGTGGGATTGGTTTAGGGTATTGGAGCCGCCATATACATCCTAACCCCTACAAACCTTGAACCCAAAACCCTAAGCCTAAACCTTAAAGCTTTAAGTTTTGCATCCTACACGCTGAACCTTAAACCTTTAATACATCGGGTTTTGGGGTTAGGGCATGGGGTATGTAGGGTATCTGGGTCTTCTGCTTTATGCTTAGGGCTTGTGATATACAGCTTGAGATAGCTGGGTCGAGGCTTTATGATGCCTAGTTTGGGATAGTTTAGGGATTCACTGTTCAGGGACCATCATTTGCAATTTTGTGGTTTCTGGTGGTGGGTTGACGGCTTTGCTTAGGGTTCCTCTGCATTGTTTAGGTTCCCGGCGTTGCGTTTCGGGCTTAGGGTTCAGGGTTTACGGTGTGCTTTAGGGTTTAGGACTGTTTAGGGTTTAGGGTTGCGCCCTGTGTTGGCTGCTCGACATTACATTACATGGCTCCGAAAGGGGGGCTCCTGGTAAGGCCCAGCAGGCGCAAAGCAGAAACGTAGAGGTCTGGCAATTTGGAAATGTGATTTCTTTCTCGTCTCACGAGTGGATCGATGGACATCGATGGTGAAGTTTGGTCTCACCTTTTGGACCCATGGCCCAGCTGAACTGTACATGCTGTTAAACCTAATCCCCACCCCGTGCCGACATGTGTTGAAGCACGTGTTTTTTCACTAAATCCAGTCCACAAATCCTATCGGTCCTAGCGCCTCAAATTAAAGCCTTCAACGAAAAAACCACGTAGCCTCTGCAGGTGTGCGGGCCGACGTCAATCCGTTCTTAGACGACAGGTGGGTCGCCTCTTTTGGTTTTCGTCGATGTTGGCGGCTTGAAGGGGCCCTAAGCAATGAATTAGGGTTTAGGGTTTAGGGTTTACGCCTTGTCACCAGTGTTGTGGCACTAGGAGAGGAAAAAAGAGCCAATGTCCTAGATCTTGGTCTGGGAATGTAATATAGGGGCCTTCGCAATAAAGAATAGGGTTTGGGGGTCTAGTATACTATAACTATACTAAGGAACTCCCCAAAGATCCTATTCTAATTCTTAAGGTACTATAACTATACTAATGAACCCCCCAAAGACACTATTCTAATTCTTAAGGTACTATAACCATACTAAGGAACCCTCTTAAGGTACACCATACTAAGGAACCCCCCAAAGACCCTATTCTAATTCTTAAGGCCCCTGCATTAATCCCCGGGTGTCCCGAGAACCGGGTTCCTCATCCTGCCTCGGAGGCCTGAAAAGGTGGGGTTTAGGGTTTAGGGTTTAGGGTTTAGGGTTTAGGGTTTAGGGTTTAGGGTTTAGGGGCCTCGGAGGGGGGATGACGGTAGTCCTTGTAGAAGGGGTCCTTCATCCTACCTGATGTAGGGGCCCTAATAATTAGAATAGGGTTTAGGGTTTAGGTTTAGGGTTTAAGGTTTAGGGTTTAGGGTTTAGGGTTTAGGGTTCAGGAACCCCCAAAACCCTATTTTAATTATGAGGGCCCCTACATTACCTTCATCCCACCTTTTGAAGCCTGCGAGATCCCGGATCTGCAACTCCTCAAAGCTCGTAGGGCCCGGGGTTAGGGTTTAGGGTTTAGGGTTTAGGGTTTAGGGTTTAGTATAGAAGCCTGAATAATTACCGATCTTGTTCCTGAGGCGCCTTATTTTAGTGAAAATTTTGAAGGGGCCCAAAACCCTATTCTAATTAGTAAGGCTTCTACATCTCTAATTCTTAAGGCCCCTACCCTAAACTCTACGAGCCTTACTTGGAGGTTCATGGGTAGTTATAAATTGGGTTATAAGTAGGGTAACTATACTTATTACCCATACTAGGGGACTTATAACCCCACTTATAAGTAGCCATGAACCTCCCAAGCAAGACGAATCGAATCCCAACGTAGGCGCTTGGTGGGATCGAGGATGGCCCCAGCGCCGCAGCGGGATGAGGTGGAACCAATGTTTCAGTACCCGAAGCTACCAGGAGGGTTTAGGGTTTAGGGTTTAGGGTTTTTCACAGTTTGCTCTCAGTCTTAACAATCATTGATCGGGACCCCAGGGAATAGGCACACTATCACGTACCGTTTCCTGGTATCCTCATTGGCGGCCTTGACAGCAGCAGCAGCAGCAGCAGAGCAGCAGCAGCAGCAGCAGCAGCAGCAGCAGCAGCAGCAGCATTTAGCACGGCGAGTACATCTTGCTAGAGTAATTTCAGCACCGTCTAGCAAACATGTTCAACTTCTTATTGGTTGACGTCGTGAACTTCGGTTTACGACATACACTTACCTTGACCTACCATTTTTTGCGCGGGTCCCTGTAAATTCTATATTTCGGTTTTGCAATCGGAACGTACGTCAAAGTAGGTTCTGGCAGTTTAGGAGCCCTCACCCCTAAACCCCACGCGCTGAAATCCCTAAACCCTGAACCTTAAACGCCTAAACCACGAGTGCCCTGAGTATGTTAGATCTCCTTTGGGGGCTTCCTTATCATAACTATAGTGAATTGGAATAGGGTTTTTTTTGGGGGGGGGCGGGGCGGGGGTCCTTATTAAAATTATAGTATAGGCATTGAAAACCCCAGATCCCGCCCAATGATCCAGCCTTTCATCTTGGGATCCCTCGGCATGTTGGGTTTAGCGAGTGGTTGGCACCATCGACCCTTCTCATTCAGCTTTGGACACGACCGGGCAAAGTTGTCAGGCAGTCTGAACAAAAAAGGGGCCATAATACTCAGAATTGGGCTTTGGGATCTGTTTTAATGTAGACGTCGGAAAAAGTACGAATAGTATCCCCTTGCAGTGCCTAAAATTCTGATACTACAAATATCCCCCCCCCAAAGCCCCATTCGACTTTCTGAGGTCCCTGCCCTAGATCGATCCCCTCCCCTAAACCCTAAACCCTAAACCCTAAACCCTAAACCCTAAACCCTAAACCCTAAAAACTAGATCGATTCTTGTGGGGCATTGTGTCTGCATTGCCTGCTGTTTGGCTCTCCAGCCCGTAGGGTGCAGAGGCTGCCATGAAGCTCAGGCTAAGGCCTCCTTAGCTTAGCGAAGTCTAGGGTTTAGGGATTTAGGGTTTAGGGTTTAGGGTTTAGGGTTCGTAGGATTATCGTTCTTAGGTCACGGCTGCTAGTAAGGTCAGAAAGTTGATGAGAGGGGCCATGTTGGGTGCTGCACCACTAGTTGGTGAGCAAGCCGTCACTGCAGCTTTGGTTTAGGACTCGAAGGCAAGATTAGCAGCCAGACCCGTGTTAGAATGCATCCCTACACCCAAACACACACACCAAACAGATCATGTGCAGCAGAAGATTTTGATTCGGCTTCGAGGCTTCCGCCGCATGTCGGAAGGCCGGGTGCGTAGCTCTGATGGTGGAAGCAGACCCCTGGCGGAGGTGGAGTCGGTTTTGGTTTAGGGTTTAGGGTTTAGGGTTGAGGGTTTAGGGTTTAGGGTTTAGCCAGTGCAGAGCAGAAATCTCACCTTCGTTTTCTACGGATCCCGGAGGGTAGGCGAAGAAGGCAGATGAAGGAAGCCAAGAAGTCCTAAACTTAAACCCTAAGCGCCAACCCAAAATCCTGCACAACTCGAGCACTACAGCCTTGGGGCCAAACATGATTGGGATTACGGAAGAGCTTGATCATACACTTCATTTCGGGGATGTGCGACAAGTCCGTCCCCCCCCCCCCCCTTTCTGTGCGGACCTGTGGTGACAGCTGAATGGCTGGAGTATAAGTCACATGGAGTAAACCCAACTCTACGCT